GATCCTGAATAGTCACGTGATTAGCCTCATTAAAATCTCAAATTAATAAATAAGGTAAATCTAACGATTGAAGATCGAGATGACGGCTAGACCAAAAAGTATTTTTATGAGATTTCACCGAAGGTCCATWGATACATCCTAACGACCAAGTATCTAAAAGAGGAGGTGAAGAAATATTAAAAAAGACATACATGGATATGGTGACAAAAAGAGAAGCAGTATTTAGATTCCAAAAAATAGCTCTTCCTCCTATCGTCCTTTAGGTGGAATAAAGAAAGAGTTAGCAAACTTGAGGTGGTTTGCTAACAATTGCATTTTGTCAATAGGGATTTTAGTTTCACAAAGAAAAAGAAAATTAGAATGATATTCTTTAACTAAAATCCCTAGACCTTGAACTGCTTTAGGACATTCTGCCCCTCGGCAATTCCAATTGATGATCAACATTGGCTGTCTTATGGCTATTGCAGGCCAACCACCACCGCCTTTTTCAAATAAGAAAGAAATAGAACGAAGCTCACATGATTTGTACGATCTGTCAGAGGTGCAACTGATGTCAAAGCTTCAATAGTCAAAATTGAAGTATTATTGGGCAAAACCAGATTGGATGGAACTATGTCCAGGATCCTCTCTGTTTGATTACGTTGGTTGGAGGATTTTGGTCTATCATAAATAGGTAGAGCAAGAGAGTCATGTATTTCCAAATGCTGCAATAGGTCTATACGAGGACGTTTTCCCCGAGAAGAGGAGGCACCCATAGGATTCGGTGGAAAAATATTGTTGAAGGCAGATTGAGCATGGAGTGCCATATTGTAGGTCTCTGGGGAAACTCGAAGGGCAGATGCAGCATGGGCGATAGTATTGGTTTAGGAGGTGCCTGAAGTAACCCTAGCTAGGGTTGAATCCGTAGGATTAGGAGGTACTTGGGATGGAGAGGAAGGTGAGGCTGGTGATTCAGAGATTGCAGGGGACTAAATATTTTGAACTGGGTTAGGGATGTGTACAAAGTCTCGGAAGGAGGGGCGGTGCTAGATTCTATGAATTTGGATTTCAACCCGAAGCCAGGGCCTTGGAAGATGCATGGAACGGCCATTGAAATATTGTTCATAGGTTTGGTCGGTGATGTAGGGAAGGGGCTGAAAACAACGCCGGTACATATGGCCTACTTTACCACAGAGATAACAAGTATTGGGAAGGTCTTCATATCTGTAAACTACCCAGTGGGTAGCACTGAAGAAGGAACTAGTATTAAAGGGCTGGTCAATTATTACTAACACCTTAGCTCTAATATAGTTTCGAATAACAACAATTTGACAGGAGGGACCTATACGTTCAAATATTGGACGACCAACATCTATGGAAAGGATTTCATACGGGATATCATGTAACTGTACCCATATCTAAATTTGGTTAAGATGCCATTCTTATTGCGATCGTCCTGGAACCCAGGGTTTCAGGATAATCATTTGGCCATCTAATATCCAAGGTCCATTGTCCCGAATTAGAACAAAGTCTTCTTCATAACGAAATTGCAAGCGGAAATGACCTCGTTGGAAGGGAGCTAAGAGGAGACGAGTAGCATCAAGACGCCACATGTTATAGAGACCTTCTTCTAGTTCTGATAACTTATCAGTTAAATGAGGAAAAATATGACAAATAAAAGAGAACTACCAATCTTCATGAAGGTTTTCAGGAATATGGCGACAGATATCGATAAAGTTGATACTAGGGATGGGTTTAGCTTGAAGCATGTTTTGAAAAGCTTCTTTTAACGCATCAATGTCTTCCATAGTTAAGGTAAGAGGGTTGAGAAGGATAAACCAGAGGAGGAAGAGAAGAAAATAATAAGAGTGGTGAGGGGTAAGCGATGGAAGAGAAGAAGGAAGGGTAAGAAAATAAGTGAAGTAGAAGAAGAAGAAAGAATGATTGCCGAATTTTTGAGGCCCGAGATGATGATAGTAAAACACAAGTGGTAGATGTAGATTAAATAGGTTATAGTAATTAAAAGAAGGGACAACCGAAAAGACATTCGAGAATAGAGAAATAGAAGGGAAACTAAAAAAAKGAGGATTAAGAAACGATAAAACCAAAAGAAACTGGATTCTAACCATAATGAGTAACTAGGAAGAGAACTAAAAGAAACAAGAAAACTTGAAAAACTAAACAGAATAAATAAAATGAAGCAGAAGATAGAAACTTGTTCATTTAAAACTAATAGAATAACTAGAAAATATACTATATAACATAACAATAGTAAAGAGCTAAGTTATCAAAGAAATATAAGAAAGCAAAGAAGAAATACTTCCTGCAGTTTAAGACCTCGAGTATCAGACCATAAAGGAAACTTAGGATTGCAGAGCTCCACTCTAAAAATCTGATATGAATCTTTCCAAGAGTTCATCAGGCAACTTCAGTTATTTTTTTCTCTCTGTTGAAAGTCTTTTGTTGGTTGCTTTCATTTTTTTACTTAAATGTTCAATCAAACACAGTCTTATTCTAACAATATTAGGTTGATATAACTTGTTTTTATTTACATAGCATAGTTTGAGAGTTATTGGGCCTTAGGCCCATTAGTTTACGTTTTAAGTTAAGTGTTTTTTTCGTTTTCTTTTTAAAGTTCTCACAAATAGCCAACTTACTAAGGGCATACTAATCTTTGTACTCTTTTATTTATGAGTACATAATCCAATGAAAGGGGTGATCAGACCTAATTATGCGATTCTCCCATTTTCTTTTATCCCTCTCTCTTTCTTAGCTGAAACCTTTTATTCTATTTATTTTCTTTTTTCTTTTTCTTTTTGCAGTTTTTTATATCAATAAGGTTGTTCAAACCTTTCTACTAAAGCAATAAACTAAAAAAGAAAATACATTTGATATATTATTCTTTTATGGTCAACCAAAACAATTTTGATTTCATGTTTATTGTAAAACAGTTTTCTAAAGGTGGCTTGCTTTATGAATTTTAAGAACTATATTGATGCATTTCATGTTGGTTCGCTTATTCCTCCATGAAATGATATTATATTTGTAGGTAATTTTAGTCTTTTTTTTTTTGTTACTTGGTTAGTCTTTTGTTAACATGTAATTAAGGTGCAACTTGGGTGGGCTTGGATTGGCTGGTTGGGATTTTGTCAAATTTGAATGGACCTGGGCCAGAAGCAGTGTAGAATGTTTGAGACCGGCTTCAGTCAAGGCAAATTCATGCCCACACCATTCTAACAGCCTTTTTCAACCTTATATTAGAAATATCTCGTCATAATATAAAGCATACCAGTATGGAGATATTCTCAATGCAAGGCAGAAAAAACTGCCCGAACAGAATTTGCCCTAATTGAAGCCGAACTCATAATGTTTCAGCCCAGCCCGAGTTGCATTCATTTTGATTGGACGACATTAAAAAGATTTGAACTCCTATTTGTTTTTCATCCCAGCCCGAGTTGCATTCATTTTGATTGGACGACATTAAAAAGATTTGAACTCCTATTTGTTTTTCATCCTTTATAATTTGCTTTGATGTTAACCATGAAAAGGGAAAAAAGTTCATTGAAAATTTTTCCTTAGAGAACATGTCATATCTGTATGCATATAATATTCAACACAAAAATGATGGTGAACACCGAACAGAGTGATTTATACAGCATAACAGCAATTGGTTTCGTTAGTCCTACACTACAGCTGCATGGGTCCAAAGAAAAGTTGGGCATGTCTTGTCATGCTTAAATCGTCTGCAGTTTTACTTGTAACATGGAGACAATTGTTATATGCCACGTCACTTCTGTTTCATATCGTGGTAGGCTGGCTGGCTGTGTCGGCTGCCCAATAGGGACTCGATGAGATGGCGCTCTTTGGACAAAATACACAAGTGGGAAGGCAGTAGAGAGAAGCTGCGAGTTTTTGAATATAAAATTATGAAATCTGAACTAAAAGGTTTCACCCGGATCCAGTTTTGACCATTTTCCCCACACCCATTTACGGTCGGTCCGATCATTTACAAATTCCAAACTTATCATATTCAAGTAAACCGGGTTGAAAAACCCAAAATAGAAATCGTGACTCAATAGGATAAGACTTAAGAGAGTAATTAGGGCAAATCCGAGAAAAAAATATACATATGAAAAGACAAAGATAACCTTATACAATGGACGGTAGAGATGTTTCCGATTTATAAAATGAGATGTGTCCAAAGACCATGCCACATCATTACTTATATATATTAAGTATATATGTATATATGTATAAATATATATTTAACAATAAATAATGGATAAATATGTTTCAAATGTCTTATATGTATTATTTTATATTTAATATATATTTTTTAATTCAGTTTTTATTTTTTTATTTATAAAATATTAAAATTTGTAATTTGAGGCCAATTTTTTTATTTGCAAAAATAGCGGAGAAAAGCGCCTACATCACATAAGGCCACATAGATCTTGAAAAGTTACAAAAAAGAAAAAAATTCCGATAAGATATTAAAATGCAAAGTTATGACCTCCAAAAATTTTATATAAATTTCATATGCATTCAACTTGCAACGGCAACCCGATCACTAGGCTGAATGAATCAACACTTAATCCAGCTGAATTGATTGGTTCTTAACTAAATWAACAATTTTGACCATCTAACGGGTCTTGACTGAATCAGACCCGGAATTCCGGATAACGGTTCGACCGACCGGGTCAAAGGCGAATTAAAAACATTGAATGAAAAAGTTATCATTTACAAGACGAGAAGGGGTCGGGGTCGGGGCAGCAATCAACGCAATAGCGGGCGACAATAGGATAGTTGGAGGCGCTAACAAGGATGCGCACAGTGCGCATTTTCTACACCACTCTGGTTGCCTCCTTTTGTCATATACTAGAGAGTGAATGCTACAAGATTGCAACGGTGGGTTGCTAAAAAAAATACACAAGTAAAATCATCGTTGACAAGGACATTTAGAGATGCCAGCTGGCGACCAACTGAAAATCTGAGTCGTCCTCTCACACACTCCTTTTGTCCCCCCACCACCCTTCTCATCCTTCTTCTCCCGCCGTACATTTGCAGGGAAAAAACTGAAAAAGAGGGGGGAAAATAAATAGGTGTAGCACTGTACGCCGCGCATATTAGAGTAAGCCCTTAATAAATAGTGGGTGTTTGAATTGAATATTGCAGTGAAGTGGGAGGGGCAACTCGGAAGTCTCGAAGCTTCAGCAGAAAAGCGAGATTAGGGTTTTCTTTAGCTTTATGCGATAAACTCCATCATCCACTCTCGAAGCAGCAGCAGCAGCAGCAGCTTTGAGCGTTTGCGCGTCTGTGTGAGAGAGATTCAGAGAGAGAGAGAGATAAAGTGAGAGGGAGGGGGAAAGATGGTGAATCCGCGGTGCTTTTTAGACGTAAGCATTGGAGGTGAGCTCGAAGGAAGGATAGTGGTGGAGCTATACAAAGATGTGGTGCCCAAAACGGCGGAGAATTTCAGGGCTCTCTGCACCGGCGAGAAGGGCATTGGTCCAAAGACTGGTGCTCCTCTCCATTACAAGGTTTTCTTTTCTTTCTCTGTATTTCTCTGTTCCAACTTTGCTGGTCTCTCTCCTTTTCCAAAGAAGAAGAAGAAGAAAAAAACTGGTTGTATCTCACCGTTTACCCTTACTTTTGGAAAGAATATAATAATGAAAAAGTTTTTTCTTTTAAAGTTCGTGATTTCCGGTTAGTCGAGGGGTATTACTGTCCTTTTCAGCATTGAGGGAATTGTTGGCTTGACTCATGAATTGTCTGCAAATCATTTTCTTTCGATATTCAACTTCTTTTCTCCTTCTCTTCTCGATATTTTGCTTCTTATAACAGTATTTTCTTTGAGGAATCAATGAAAAATCATAGTTGTTGTTTTCCTTTGTCTGTTTTACTTCCACATACATTTGTAGTTTCGCCGGATTCGACCGTAAATTTGTTATTGATATTAGTGTTGTATCGACACTGCAATAAAATATTCTCTGGATCTTTAGACAACAATCCGGTATTGGATAATTTTTGCAATTTATAATTCGAGTTGAAGCAAGTGTTCATAAGGCTTTCATTGTGATTTGATATAAATATATAATTAGCAGTTCAGCACGGATTAGCTTACAGGCGTATTTGGTTAGGAGTACTTCCTCTCGAGTTCGTTTTTGTACGGAAAAATTGGTCGCACAGTTTTTCTTTTCATGGTTAGGAAAAAAACAAATAGACTAAAGGGGAAATTCTTGAACACGTGGAATACAGTAAAGACTGAATTTGTATTTCTGTACCATCATCCTTTATGTCTAGCAAATTTAGCTGCTTACAGTTGAAAGTTGAAACTACGAGTATGAACAAAATCACGATAATCCATTCCATTTGGGATTTCTTTTGGATGGGCCAGACTGCTAGAGTTATATGTTTTTCAAGTTTCAACTCGATGAAGCTTAGCATAACATAGTTTTTCCAAAATCCAAACATTAGGCTATTCAAGATTGACTTTGACCTTTTCTTCCAGATATCAACTTTACTCTGATTATGATGTTCGGAACCCCAAAATGAATTTGATTTTCGCTCTTTAATCCCATCCCCATGGCAACTTATGTTTGCTTAATGCTTTTGTTGGATGAAGAGATTATAAACTTGAAGATACAGAAATGAGCGAATGGAGTGGGCTGAATCTGCCAAATAAAGTGAGAGATTGTACATAAAGAGTAAGGATCCCCCAACCCCCACCCCTACCCCATGAGAATGGATAAAAACCATAGCCTCCATTCTACTCCCCAAACAGGTACAATCTAGAAAAAAGGTCATTTGAACATCATTGGATACTTCAAAACCCAAGACACCACTTTCCCCACAACCATTTTTAAATATCTCCTCCATGGCTCTACCCAAGAGCTTTTGTTTTCAAAAACTCTTGCACTTATTGCTATCCAAATAGTCCAAATTGTTGCAGCCAGGATGGAGCGCTAGATATTGCCTCCCATTTTTGTTTAAGCCATTTACCCTCCACCTAGTCAGCAGTTTCATAACTGATCTTGGAAAAGACCAATGTAAGTTAGGTGCTCTGAGAAAGCGAGTCCTAAACTAGGATTCTCCTTATCTTTGCTGCTTCTCGTTTCTTCATCTTAATTTATCTTGTAAGGTCGGTGGGTTTGGCGAAGGAGGTTGGCTTCGAAAGTCTAAGAACAGTGGTGAATTAACTGGAAGACTGGGGAAAAAGAAAGGGGAGAGAAGGAATTGGCGTAACCCCTGGAGGGGCTGCCTACATACCCTCTGGCAAGGGATTGAGCTGCTGTAGTTTGCTTGTTCTGGAATCTTGGTGGGGAGAGGTTGAAGGCGGTGGAGGAGAGAGAGTAGTGAGGGGACCCTGAGCGATACACATGATTTCCTAGGTTAATTATTAGACCAGACCAAATTGGACTGAGCTGAGTGGACTTAGCCGGGTCTATGGTGGTTTGTGACTCTATGCTCTTACATATCCGTCCAAAAAAATTTAATTTTATGTGAAAGGTAAGTGGTACTGCACTGGATCATTATTTTGCACAATTGCACTGCACCTAAGGAAATAGCATAAGAATGACATGTTTATGCCTTCTCCATTGAGTGCCCAGGTTTTACATAGGTTCATTTAATTTTCTTTTACTTATGGTGGGATTTAATGAGTTGGAGGAGGTGACAGGTTAGTCTGCTCTGCTCCCACTATTTGGCTACTAATTACTAAAATTTTAATATTTTTACTCATTAATAAAGTTTATGGTTCTTGAATGTGCTATTTGTGTTCGATGATTTTCAGGTTTGAAGAAAGGACTAAATTATAACAGACTTAGAAGTCATTAGCGCCATGCAATATCTAAAATTGATCTGGTGCTGTCTTTGGATAAAATGGTTGTTCTTTAGTGGGTTCCACATATTTATGGCTTATGACTTGAAATATTGCCATTAAAAGGGAAACTATACGCTCCTGGAGTTGTTGCTATCTTTAAAAACATATTAGGAATTATGATCCATGATTACATATCATCTGTATTTTACCTTGCTTTTTGCTTTAGTTCTGAATTTAATTTTGTTAGTACATGCATTGTTTGACCTTTTTCATTGTCATGTAGATTAAATATTTTCTTTTTTTAGTCATATTGCTAGTGGCTCTGTCTCATCCAATTTGCTAATTATAGTTTAATGTTCATTTTAGGGTGTTCGTTTTCATCGCATCATCAAAGGTTTTATGATACAAGGTGGAGACTTATCTGCTGGGGATGGTACTGGGGGAGAATCCATATATGAACTGAAGTTTGAAGATGAGAATTTTGAATTAAAACACGAGAGAAAAGGAATGTTGTCGATGGCTAATTCTGGGCCTAACACCAATGGATCTCAATTTTTTATTACTACCACACGAACTTCTCATCTAGATGGAAAGCATGTTGTATTTGGGAAAGTAATTAAAGGAATGGGTGTGGTTCGTTCCATTGAGCATGTTACTACTGGTGATGGTGATTATCCCACAGTTGATGTTATTATTGCGGATTGTGGAGAAATTCCTGAAGGGGCAGATGATGGAATATGCAATTTTTTTAAAGATGGTGATACTTATCCTGATTGGCCAGCTGACCTTGATGAGAAGCCAAATGAAATTTCTTGGTGGATGACTGCTGTGGACTCTGCCAAAGCTTTTGGGAATGAACACTACAAAGTAATTTCTGTTAACATTGTCAAGATGAACTCTGTTTAAGATTTTGTTTATTTTTAATGTAATACTTACTCCTGATGATCATCTCAAGATGATGTCATGGAAAACACCTAGAGTTCAATCATGAGGCACAATGTATTAGGCATATATGCCATGGTAATTAGTTTAGATTTAGACTTCATTTATCATGTTTGGCATTATGGCATATATATGTTTCTTTTTTTTTTTCTGAAGTTGATTTACTTTAAGAGCCAGTAGGTGATGAAGGAATTTTGGAAATGGAATGTAGTTCCCCCCTCTTCCTCTCTGATTCTGTATGTCATTTTGAGTACTTTTTCTATTTGGTTAATCTCAATTATTACTGCATACAGAAGCAAGACTATAAGATGGCTCTTAGGAAGTACCGGAAGGCTTTGCGCTATTTGGATGTATGCTGGGAGAAAGAGGACATTGATGAAGGTGAGGCATTTTATTTTTCTGGTAATATTGGGATATATGCTGGAGAGCAATATCCTTTTTTGGGGGGTTGGGGATTGTTAGTCCATGTTATTGTCATTATATGCCCTAATTTCTATCTGATGTGTATTTTTTTCCTGTCCTTACACAGAGAAGAGCTCCTATTTGAGAAAGACAAAGTCACAGATTTTTACAAATAGTTCTGTAAGGCCACAAACCATTTGAAGATTTTTTTTTTTTTGGTTGAAATGATAGTTCCATTAAAGAGAACGTGAATTGCAAATTGAGTGGATAAAAAAGAGTTATAAAAGAATATGCAATGATAATTGTTCATTGTATGAAAAGATGAGAACCATCAAAACAACTTCTGGGTAAAGTAGTTGTCCATGTGCAATCAGTTTGCCAGAAGTGCAAAGTTTTTGCTCTTGTTTATTGAAGTCAAATCATTAGCATCTATACTGTTATAAAGTGGATACTTGCCTTGGTTTTGGTACAAATTATAAAAGTTAAATTGATTATATGGTGTCAACTTATATCTTTACCATTTACTTGCACACGTGCATAGCATGTGCCTTTGCACTAGTCATGGTTAAGCCTTTTGCAGATAATGTCAATGTCAAAGGACCTTGGGTGCAACTTTTAGGCTTCCTCATTTTATGATCAATGTTAGCTGTGAAAATCTTATATACTGGCATGCACATGGAGTGGTTCATTTCTTTTTTCCTTTCATTTTCAAGAAACCATGGTGGATACTTCCTAAAATGTATTCTGCTAGAACCTATTAAGTTCTTTTTCTATTAATTATTTAACAGGATTGACTGAGACACGTTGATAAATTACACAACTGTTTTTTGATCAGCTATGATTTCTGTAATTTATTCCTAGTTCACTTGTAAGCTTTTGGGAGGGGCTGCAGCTCTCACCTCTCCATGTGATGTTGTGTGAAATTACAATTCTAAATTGTTTTCTGAATTAATAAAATTTAACTATTACTCATAAAAAACCAAAACAACTGAACAGATTTGAAAATTATCTGGAACACCCACACCCACATATCTATTAGGGAATTGGCCAGATCCCCCTGGATTATATACATGTTCACCTTCAATGCCTCGGATCTTCGTAGGCCCTCACCATCATCTTTGAGCCAGCTGATTACCATATGAAAGTCTCCTTATCTCCACATGCTGAATCCTTAAAACTGTTATAACTCAAATACTTTGACAACAATGTTTTTRTCCTAGTCCTGAGAGAGTCAGACCAGTCAATAGGGTCTGAGTGATCGTTTGAGTGCTTATATTATAAGTGCTTATTAATAAGTTGACAGGGAACTTGAAGTGTGTCTAAATCTTTTGGAGAAGTTGGAAAGGGTGAAGCTTTTAGCCCAATCTAGGGATGAGTTATGGTGGAAAATGTGTTCAAATGAAAAGTTTACTGTTAAATCTTGTTATTCAGCATTGTGCAGGAAWTAGGTGGACTTTAACCAAATTGAAGGGGTGTGGGGTAACCCTAGAGCTGTGAAGTGGGTTGGCACAACCCAACACAATTTGGGCCTGCTGGCAGGTGTTTTGAGGCCCACCAGCTGGCACGACACAACATGAACAATTGGGTTGTGCCTGCATAGCCCATGAGCTGGCCTGGCACTGTGCTCATATATGAACAAATGAACAATTGTATACATTAAAATCATATTTCTTGATTATCTTGTTAATTTATCTTAACATTTTTATTTTTATTTTTTCATTTTTTTTTCCAAAAAAAATCATGTTTCCCATGACCCTGTCTGGCACGGCCCACCAGGGCTCGGACCATGGGCTATGCTGGGCTTCCCTTTTGAGGGATTCCAGGCCAGGCAGGCAAGGCCCACTAWAGTGCAATCTGCATGCAAATGTGGGAGCTATAGGTAACTCGGTTCTTCCTAGGATGTAAGCTTTTGCTTGGTTGATTGCTGTGGACACGATTTTGATAGTGAATCATTTGAAGAAAAGAGGATTTGACATGACTAGCATTTGCGCACATGTTATTTGTATAAAGAAAATGAGGAATCGGTCTGCCAGCTCTTCATTTCATGTAAAATCAATGGGTTCTTTTGGAAGCTCTTCACAATACTTTTTGGGGTTAGGAATTTTCAGCCGAGGACATGTGCAGAGATTTTCCCTATATAGCCAAGATTTGGAGGATGTAAGATGGTCAGAGTAATTTGGAGCTGTCTTCCGAATTACAAAGTTGTAATGTAGACAACTGAYAATCTCTAGTTTAGTTTTTGTTTTTTGTTGCCAGGTGCTTAAGTAAAAACCTACTAAGATTGTATCCTTTTTTAAATGAAATTTTAGTTCACTTATAAAAAAAGAGTGCTTTCAAATAGGCTAAGTATAGGTATTTTGAAAATTACGAGGTGGGCCATGATGGGTGAGAAATATGTTCACTTTTTCAAAAGCGCTTAAAAAAAGGTCAACATTTTGAGCTGTTTCAAAACAGGCTTATTTCCTCAACTGCTTATCTGGGCTTATTTCCCAAATACATATAAGTGCTTATTGGTGTGGTCCCAACCTAAAATTAGCACTTTTTCCAGAAAGTTCTTAAAAATAAGCACTCCCAAATGGGGACTGAGTAGGCCAACAAAACCGCCCTTGGTACATTACCAAAAGCACCTCCAGTCCTTGCCGTGGAGGGTATTAATTTTAATTGAGAAGCTGTGTGGATCAGTAGATGTTGATGAGTTTTTTAGGGTTTGAGTATCTCCAGATCATGCCATCTATAGGGAAGTCCAAGTCAAAGATTAAAATGTCGATGGTGGTGGAAATATCAGTCACCCAAATATACGAAACATGTTGGAAATGTCAGAAATACTGTATGCAAATATTGTAAGAATTATAAAAATGCTGAAAATATTGTGGAATATGTAAAAATATAGAATGCTATTTTATGTCATGATAAAAATGCATAAGTAGTCCCTTTTAAATAATTATCTTGTTCCAAATTATCAAAACTGCATTATTAGAGTGAGTTAAAGAAAATCAGAACTCATAGAAAATGCAAATAATTCTAATAGATCAAGCAACTATTTATTATACAATAAAAACTAAGATTTAATGTCATGTTTGAGAAGAATTTCGAGCTGGCTCAATGTTTTAAAAGCGCAAGGTGCATAAAAGGCGCAAGGCACAAGGCGAGGTGCACAATTAAAAAAAAGCAAAAAATTATAAAGCATAATATTTAATAAAAATATAAACTTAAGTTTTAAAATAAATGTTTAAAAAACCTATTATCTAAAATTAAAATTGTTGAGTGGGCCGACTTGTGTTTAGTTTATTTCCTTTTAAATTAAGATGTTGTTGGGCCTTGGGCCCATTAGTTTTTATTTTTTAAAGAGCTGTAATTACTTAGGTTGAGTTGCCGCCCTACTAAGGGCATCTTTGTAATATCTCATACTTAAGTTAATTATAAATAGAGTGAGGGGTTGGCGGCTAGGGTTAAGTTAATCTATCATAGTCGACCTTCTTCTCTTTTCTTCCCTTTCCTCTGTCTCTTGCTGAAATCCCCAACTTTCTACTCTTCCTTTCACAAGAAGCTTGGCCGAAATCAGCACATAAGGTTTTCTACTAAAATACATAAACATAATATGTAAAGCATATTCAAATGAGAATTTAAAAATGAAATCAAACATTTAAAACATTTTCAAGGATATAAAACCCACAATCTCTTTTTTTCTCAATTGCATAAAGTAATGTGACATTACATTCCTAATTCTACGAGCTACCTTTGTGCCACACCCCTCGAGGCACGCCCAAATAAGTCCATGTTAGGGTCTTAAATTCTTTGTTTTCACACAAAAAATAATGATTTTATAGTTTTAATTGCTTTTAAGAAGATATTTTATTAGGATGAATGAATGGTCAACATTACCAAATAGGGGGTTCTCGAAGCTTCGGTGAGTGAGCGAAGCGAGGCGTCTACCCTAAAATGTGGCTCGCCTAGGCTATAAAATCATTATTTTTTTGTGTGAAATATCTTCATTATTTGGTAATGTTGTCCATTCATTCATCCTAATAAAATATCTTCTTAAAAGCAATTAAAACTATAAAATCATTGTTTTTTGTGTGAAAACTAAGAATTCAAGACCCTAACATGGACTTGTTTGGGTTGGGCTCGAGGGGCATGGCATGGGTGCTCCGCCCCCGACCTAGCTGCCAGACTCAAAAAAAGGAAAAAGCGGCAAATTTTCGAATGGTGCACGCCTGAGCTAAGGCGCAAGGCACACCACTACACCAGGCGTACTCCTTTTGAATGGGCTGTACCTAGGACCTGGGCGAGGCGCCTACCCTAAAATGCGCCTAGGTGCCTTTTAAATCACTGAGCTGGCTCAAAGTGGTAGTCTTGTTCGTTAAGTGGGCAATAACATTGCTACCCCATTGTATCCAATATATTGTTACTAACTTGTGTTACAAGGCTTTCTCTTTGTACACCATAACATCAATAGCTTTTAATGGGGAATATGCATATTCTAATAATATTTCATGTCCATATCCATGGAAATGGAACTATGTTGTGGAAATATTAGGACTTTTATGGAAATTTTAAACATGTTTCAGAGACTTATATGCTTTACACCTTGTAGTCATCATCTTTGGAATTTTGCAATCAGGTTGCTGGATAATTGCTGGAAGTCTTTTTTCCATGCTTAGGGTATTTGGCTGGATGATCTTTATAGATTAACTCCCTTGCCTGCATTCAACAGTTGTGTCAATTGGTTATTTGATAACAGTTGGATGACTGTCAATAATAGAGTAAATTTGAAGAGATGGTAAATACTAAAAGCAATATTATCTTCAAAAAAACTAAAAACAATATGTAATGCTTGTTTTTATATTTTGTTTGGTAAATACTAAAAACAATATGTAAGCAATATTAATAGGTCATGCATCATATGCTAGTGGAAATGTTTGGGTGTTTTTACCACCTTTCCATTATTTTAACACTAAAATCCATAAGTTTCTAGACCTTTATTAGTGGTTTAATTTTATATCATCTATCTAGATGACCTGTGTCATTTCCATTCTACAAGAAAGGGATGTGATGTATCATCCAATTATCTTTAGTAACATGTTTAGACTGATAATGCCACATGCAAATTAACTTCTAGCCTAAATTACGATGAGAAAAAATATTTATCAAAAAAATTTATGATGAGAAAAAATCTGAGGGTGTACTGCTGAGTTTACCATGTTGGTCACTTTTGGGAATCTGTATAAATGTGGTTTACTTATAATGGATTGAGTTTGTGGTGAAGGATTTTAATGGATAATTTTGTTACTTGTTATGGTGTAACACTTTTCTTCCATGCAATTATAAAATGATTGTTTTATGGATGATCCACTCATGGTGCATCTTACTTTTTTTTTTTTTGGTTTTTTGGTAGTGCTTTCATGGTGCTTTTACTGATGGCATTGTTCAGTGTCTCGTGTCTGACTAATTGATATGTTATGGTTGCTTAGGCTTGTAAGTTGAAGTTGGGAGATTTGAAAGGAGCATTATTGGATACTGACTTTGCGATGCGTGACGGGGAGGATAATGTGAAAGCTTTGTTTCGCCAAGGCCAGGTCGGTATCTTCTGGCAATAGTGGATTTAGTCACAAGCTGAAGCAATTAGAAACCAATGAGAAAATCCACCGTAAGAAGCAAACAAAAATGAAATATAGGATAATATATGGAGGAGAGAATCAAGGAAGGTGTCAACTCTAAATCTGTTAAAGGTCTGAAGGGGAATAATAGAGAGTCGATTGTAAAACAAATCAAGTTTTCATATGGGGAAGAATAACAGTCCATCTCATGCATACATACATGCATAAATCTCTCTTGTGAGCCTATAACTACCGTTTTAATGCATGAATTGTAACTAGCAGGATCACTTCCCTGTGGGGTTTGCCTGAATTATTTTTTATTCTCTCAACCTGCTTTTAGAATTTTGTAAGTATTGTAATAAAAATAATTTCCAGTTATGTCTGGGTATTGAAATTAATGTTTTAATGAAGACATTAAATTTCATTTTTGGTTGTTTCAGAATGGTTTTTATTGCTTAATAACGTTGGTCTTGTTGATCCATCAGGCGTACATGGCACTTAATGATGTAGATGCTGCAGTTGAAAGCTTCAAGAAAGCGTTAGAGTTGGAGCCAAATGATGGTCAGTAACTTAAAATGTTTCAATGCTCCTTATTCATAATGTTCTAAATATTGTAAAATTAAGGTGAAATTCAACAGTATTAGTCCTTGGGAATCCAGATTGCAGACCATGAAACGGATGACTACACAATTCAACACTGGAATTTTTGCTATTTGATTTTAAGTCGTGTTGAAACAGTACTTCGAGTTTGTTGTTTCAACAACTCTAAGATTATGTACAATTGAGTCCATGGTAATATAATGTGCAAGGCCATCAAATGGGCACTCTTGACTACCGAAATCGAACTTGTAGCGAAAAACGTTGTGTAAATTACTGTTGGTATAACTATATTCATAGAGGTGGAGGTTTGGACCGGGGGTTTGCATCGTGCCTGAAATTGATTGCTAACTTCTAGTTCCACTTTGCAGGTGGAATTAAGAAGGAACTTGCTGCTGCAAGGAAGAAGGTCAGTGAATTATGCCATTTTGAAACATTCAAGCAGTATATGCTTATTTTGAACCTCTTTTTTAAGCTTGAAATTGGATTTCAGATTGCTGATAGGCGTAATCAGGAGAGAAAGGCTTATTCCAGAATGTTCCAATAGCAGTTTATGCATTCTTCTGGTATGTTAGATGCTTTTTGGCGTCACTTGATGTTGAGTCTGGCTTCCCTTTGGGTTCAAAATACCTAGTATCATTTCTTGAACTCATTGATTCTTCAGATTTATATACATTCTGAACTGTAAACTGGTTCCTCCTTTTACTGTTGCAGTCTTAAGGAGGCTTGTTTTTCTGTGAACCGGGTAAATCCATCAACTGAGTCTTATAAATGATTTATTGGCAGTACAGGAGATTGTGAATTTGTGATTGTTACACTTGATCCTGTTGGATAATTGCAATACTCATTTCGTCTTCGTAATGTTAAATCCAAGGTATTAAATATCGACCCAGAGGCCTAACCGCTTTGGGCTGAACAGTTCAGCCCATAACATAATTTAAATATTTAAAAATAAGATTTACCAATGTCAGTGGTTCTCTAACCAAGTCAACCATGGTTTGAAACGGAACTGGTTGCTTGGCTGGTTTCGGTCCGACTGTCAGTGTCAACCATGGTTTGAAAACCACGGTTAAATCCACTAGTTTGATATTTCTCTGCAAAGTTCCACCATATTGGACTTCCCCTGGTTGTCTGTCATTTATTATTGTGTAGGTTATATACCTGTATATTTCTAGGAATACTTATAGTCTCTTGTCTGATAATAGTTTCATTTATTATCCACAGGTTTTGAACAGGGCGAAGGATAAGTACCAGACCCCTTGAGTGAATACAACATACACAATGCGAGCTTAACACATTTTTGTTTTAGACGGTTATTATGTGTTGAAAAGAGTACGTTAAGTAGTGTCATTGGTCGGCAGTTGATTTACCATGCGTATAAATTCTGTAATCATCTAAACAGTTTTGCTACAACTGTGCGGAACTACTTATTTGGCATAGAATGGATCATTTCTTCTGGTCCAATTTCTGATTGTAGTTTTGTCACTTTATGCTGATCTTTTTTAGACTCTGTCGAGTCGAGGATTACCTGGGCCTTGTAGGTAGTAAAACTGATGGCGGTCGTTTTTTATATTTATTTAATAGCAAGGAAAGCAAATTACACACAAAGTGGGGTAGAAGTGTAGAACGACCCCAACCATTCGTGCAAAAACATACAAAAGATCTCTAGGACAATTGTCGAATGCAGACCCCCCTGCACGATCACGATATGCCTGCATCAAGAAAGAATACTGTCATCACCCACATGGTTGAGCCTTGTTCAGAAGACGATTTATTCTGATTTTTGAGCCAAAGCTCAGCAAGCTCAACTTGAGGGCAACCCGCATTGATAGGACTGTCAATGGACCGAGTTCGAATTGGACCCCGCCCGGATCGCAACCAGTTGGACCGATTTGGATGGTCCGAAGTGTTACATCAGATTGGACTGGTCCAAAATTTGATTGTCCAGTAAATTAGTGGACCTAAATGGACATAGTTCAAATACCCAATGTCCGTTCAATTGTCCACTTAATCTTTTCCCTCTCTCTCTCTCTCTTCGACAGCATAGCAGAGGTTTGTCTCTGACAATGGTTATGCATTCTCTCTCTCTCTCTCTGCCAGAGAGAGTTTTTAGATGATCTCTTCTTTAACCGATGATAGACGATCTCTTCTTTAACCGATGGCATACTACAGATGTCTCTCTCCGGTAATATTACAGAGTGCTTTCAAACGATTTCAGCAACGATTTCTCCTTCATCTCTGGCAACGGTTCCAGCCTGAGGTGTTCTCTCCCTCTTCTGCAACGATCTCTACTTCATCTCTCTCCGACTCTTTTTTTTTTTTAACAATTACAGAGAGCATAGATACAATAATAACATTCCTAAACAAATCCTTGTTTCTAGATCACAAACACAAGAAAAATTTAGAAATTCATCAAAACCCCTAGTGGAAGCTTCACTTGAGAATCCATCTTGTGCTCGGATTGGAGAAAGCAAGTCGAGAGAGAAGAAGTTGAAGGCCGCTCGCTCAATGCTAACGTGCACCGAATGGTTTCTATCATTGTGGAAATTTATTTTCTTTTTATATTTATATTTTCTATTTTGATACATTTTTAATAAATGTTTTAAATACCAATCCGCAACCGGAATTGCTTTGGCCACTGGTTTTTGGGCCAACAGTTTGATCTTTCGATTTAAATGGATGGCTCATTCCAATTAAAAAAAATAAAAAATAATTAAAATAAAAATGACAAAAAATGGTCGAACTGGTTGATGGTTCAACCGTCCAGGTCAACGGGTCATTGACCAAATCAATGCTTTTTGGCCAAGATACGGGTTAATGGTGAAATAGAACCGGTTGCCTTGATGGTTTTCGGGCTGAATGGTCTAACTGTCCAGGTCAATGATGGTTCATAAACCATGTTTTTAATATATTTCTATAAATTTTTATACAATTTTTTTTTATGTTTCATTCAATTTGGATCGGATTGGAACCAATACAGTCCATTTGCATTTTAACCGGACCAGTTTGGATCTAGCTTGTATGGGTTTTGGATTGGATTGGATTTGGTGCATTTGTAAATGCACCCGATCAGATTGGACCAATTGGACCAAATCTAGTCCAGTTGACACCCTTAGTTATTGATGAATTTTTTTGTTAGTAAGGATGAATTGGACTTGGATTGGACCCAATTCGATCCATTTGGATTGGAATGGATTGCAGCAAGTGTTGTAGTATTTTATATATTTTCTGGATTTCTCATGTTACTGTGGTGTTTGGTCCAATTTGGAATGGATTGGATCCAATCCAACCCATTTATATTTTAATTGGATTGAACTGCAGCAGGTATTATAGTTTTTTTTATATATATTTTTCTAAAATTTTAATGTTATTTTGGTATTTGATTCAATTTGGATTGGATTGGACACAATCTAGTCCGTTTGCATTTTATTTGGACTGGATTGGACTTGGTTTGTTGGATTTGGACTGTATTTGGTCCAATCCATTTATAAATGGACCAATATTGGATTGGACTAGATTGGACCAAATCCAGTCCAATTGACAGCCCTATGCATTGATTGATTTGTCTACTCTCCATATCTACCTTTTGTTGGATTTTAATCTCATAAGAGATTAAATCCAATGGGTTTGATTGGTTAATTACATGAGAAGTTGTACATGCACACTTGTTTGGAAAATTAGTTTTTTCTGTTACAAAACCTAGTTTTGAACTTGCCTCACATTGAAAAATTTATAAGCTTTGTTTTCAGTATTTTAATAGGAGTTGATTTACACTCCTTAGAAATAGTAGAGAGTATGGAGGTTTGATATCGCGCAACGGCGCATGCGCGCGCACGTGTGTGTGGCGCAATGAAACGCTTTAGAGGCGCACTTTGCTCGCACTCGCGTGGCTCGTGAAAGGCGGGTTTGGTTTTGGTGCGATGCTGACCGTTGATGAGATCAACAGTCATGATTCGGTCGGGTGTGATCAAGAGACACATTTCAAGGTGCCTTCTCTGAACCAGCACCTACTTTTTTTTCATACTTCTTCATAAACTATTTAAGGAACATGAATCAGATTTCAAAAACACACATTTTTGAAATCCACTTTCTCTCTCTTTCAGTCCGGTCTGGTACAGTCTCACAGAAGAATTTTTCAGAGATTCTTCAACTTTACTGATTGCAGATTCTCGCCCAAGGCTCTATTGTATTCTGGGAACGGATTTGCCTGTAACCCAATAGCAAACTCAGTGAAACTGAGTGGGGACAAATAACATTCTAAAGACAATATCTTTAGACACACCTCAAAGCTTCTTCTCCAAAATTACAATAACCCCATTCTCCAATACTTTTTCCGATTTTTATTTGGTATGAAAGATTTCGTGACAATTGACAAATTTATGTGATTTTTACTTAGTATGAAAGATTTCATGATAATTGACAAATTTATGTTGCATTGGGCTGGTGCTTCCACTTAGCCCCTCGTCTTTTACGATTCATGGTAATCTTCACGTGTGAATTGTACTATGGTTAGTTCATCCTTGAATACCTAATATGAAGTGCCCCTCGTTGCTTACTCATGCCTTGGAGGCTTCTCTCTCTACGCGCGTGTATCGATGTCCACAGTTTTATCTACCTTTTGCAATTCGCTTGATCTACGGCAGCAGTTCTGACAGTTGTTGAATTTCTTTGCGCCTTTTTTATTCTTCCTTCATCGAATATCGAATTGATGCACGCGTTAGTATACTCGAATTGGGATTCAAGCTCCCACTATTGTGGATTTCGATACTCGTCTTTTGGCATTTTTAACACCCAAAACGACATATTTATCACAGATTTTCTAACCGACGACCTTCTTACATGTAAAAGTGTCAATGGATCGGTTTTGGATTGGACCCTATCGATTGCAAAATAAATTTGGAGAGATTGGAAGGACCAATAAGACATATTGGATCTAAAATATTTATTAAATTGAATTGGACCTGGTCCATCCGTAATAGATTTATATTGAATTGGGTTGGGTTAAGCCGATATCTGATCTATTGATATAAGAATATATATGTCAATGGGCTAGGTTTGGGTTGAAAATTGAAACCAATCTAAATCAAAATGAATTTAAACAGATTGGATGGTCTAGACATTGAATTGGATTAATCCAAATTGGTCCAAAACATTCATTGGATTGGATTCAATCTGATCCATTTATAATGAACTCACATTGGACTGAATCAGATTGGACCAAATTCAGTCCAATTGACACCCCTAGTTACATGGAAGGCAGCAAAGAACAACCTTTGTTCATCAATTACTACTAACCACCCATGATCCTGGCATAGGTGGTTCCCACCGAGTGCCATCGTTGGCAGCATCGTATATTGATGATTGAAAACCTGCGGGCCGATAGACGAGCCGAAGCATTCTTGAACCAATTCCGTGAAACGTTCAGAGGAGAGGGAACCCCTGCACTCTTGCTAGCCGGTAAAAAGAACTTGGTAGACCCAGTATCTATTCTGAGGGGTTTTGATATGTTTCGGGTCTGTTGTAAAAAGGGTCTGGTGATCATCTAGCGTTTTCAATTGAAGAAGAAACTCTGGATAATATGAGAAAAGGAAAGTAATATGCATAAAGATACTTGTGCGGAGAGATATGAAACAGACCAATCACTATTTGTGGGTCTCTAGTGTTATGGTCTAATGAAAAAACTAGAAGAATAATATCTTCCATAATCCAAGGTTTAAAGCATTGGTACTACAAACTATAAAGAAAATTGTAAAGGAAATTTCTAGATATAGTGAATGCCTGAATGGATATAAATGAATGGTTAGAAAGTGTCTTAAAAAAACAGAAAAAAGATTTATGACATATGTTGATTTACCAAAGGAAACTCATGAACTCAAATGCATTAATAAACCTAAATCCGTGGCTTAAAAGAAATGATCATAAATATAAATACATGATAAACATGTGTTAAGTTTGAACTAATAGGTACATGTGGAAAATATTTGGAAATGATCGGATCAATCATGTCTGACACGCATATTAAATCGATATAAATATAAACATCAAAATGGTCTATATTGGTCGGTGCTTATTGATAGATTGCTGATAGCCTGGTACTACTAAAACACCAAAATACCGATGGAATGACACTGAAACTGGGACTAACCAGCCGGTAGATGGTTGATAAGGTCTCTTGCTGGTTGTAGCGGAGACTTGAGATCCAATCTCACCTGCACGTGGATTGGGGGATGGGCTACCCCATTTCTATAGCCCTTTAAAACAAATAAAAAAAAGTAGAGATTTGATCGGATTAATCATTGATCTCAAGTCCCCGCCACAACCAGCTGGAGAGGAGAGATCTTAGCAAGTGAGAGAAAGCTCTTTGAAGTGTTTTAATCAATGAAATTCTTGCATATTGCATGCAAAAGCACACCTATACGAGTGATGTACACTGACACAAATCATTTGTTGAAATTTAAACTGAACATGATACATTGTTTTCCCGAGAAAAAACTGAAACCACTCTAGCAGCCAAAGATAACGAGTGAAAATGTTAATATCATGAAACATATAGTATAAAAAGATATGGCACTATGAATTATAGTTATCAAGTCCCAAATCCCTCAGTGCATCGGTAGCAGCGTCTTTGCAGCTCTCGTGCTTTTCCTTGGCCTTCCTTATGATCTTCTCAATCCCGTTACTGAGCAATACATTTCTGCACGTGTTGTTTTTAGGGAAGAGGGATGAGTTAAAATGAAATATTAAATGATTGCAGTGGAGAATATATGATTTTACATACTCTATAAAAGTGTTTATCCTAAGAAGTGCATCTAGAAGCATCCATACAGTATCTTCTGGTACCATATCCCACACTGGTATGCTAAGCATGTGCAGGTATCTGGTTATCATAGGTTGATATGAGCCAATAAAACTGTGGGGAAAGTAAATAAAAAAGGAAAAAAGAAAAGCAAGAATGCAATTAACTATTGGGAAATTTATGGTTTGACCCCCTCATAAATTTTTATTGGTTTTCTGAATGTATTTTCCCAAACCCCCCCACCCACCTATGCTAGAGTACCCCCTCGTATTGTGATAGGTTCCCCCGTGTCGCTGTTTCAAACTGTACAAATTCATAAAAGTTTATGAAGTGGAGGAATCAACAAAAACCCCTAATTATTTTAACAGCAAAATGGAAATGCTATTGCGCATCAGGCGCTACCTAATACTTGCCTGTTTTCTGGGTTTCTAACCACAAGATTGCGGATCATGAGACATGCTTGCTTCTGCATCTGATGTGCTTCAGGAAACTTTTGCATGGCTTGGATTGCAAGCTCTCCTGCCCCAGCTTCAATGGCAGAAGCTGCATTGTCTGGAGACCTCAAGGAAAGTGTGCAGATGACCGACATAATCTGACCCATTAAAGAGAAATGCCAATAGATGGTTGCAGATGATACAATGTGATAAAAAATGCATATAAACAAATAATCTGGACAATCGTGTCATGGGGATCCTCCCCATGTCTATTATCTATGCCCTTAGAAAAGGGGGTCTATTGCTATTGTTGTATTTTCAATTACTGAAAAAGCACATAATAGATGTGGGGAACAATTTGATTAACTCTGTTCTTTCCAATGGAATTAAGCAAGTGCTGTCATTGTCCAAAGGATATAATTACGCTTGCTCAATTTTTTCTCCGAAGGAAAGAAAGCATGTTGAAGAACCACTCCAATTTTTAGATGTTCTCCATTCAAGAAGCCCAGTAACTAGGCTGGCACAGCAAGAAAAATTCTTTAATGGCACGACATCTAAAATTATAACTTGGATAATACATAGGTTTAAATAAGTTGGAATGCAATCAGTGGCAGCAATCATGGTCTACAGATGCTTTAGTATGCAAACGTGTAACAACATACCTCTTGCAAAACAGAAGGATCATCAGGAAATCTGCAAGAGAGCTTCATTAACCTATCCATTCCCCTTTTCTGGACTATGGTAGTTTTATTAACATCACTTCCTGCCAACTGAAGACAAGTAACAGCCAATTAGAAGTAACTCAAATACTTCAATATGTGGTTAGGCATTCATATCTACACTATATGTTTTAGCAAGTTTACTGTTTTCAAACACTTTTTTTTTTATAATTACTGTTTTCAAACACTTCAAAACACTATATATTTTGTTTACAAACACCCTTTTTGGCCAGGATGTCCTGTTCTTTGGTTCTTGTATTTTGACATCCATGTAAAGTCCCTTGTGGTATTTGGGTTGGAGATCCTACTGCTGTATGATTTTAGTGTTGAAAGAACTAATGAATACTTTAGATAGCCTGATGTCCTATTCTAGAAAAGCTATTTCTGATTTCAAACCTTAGACAATAGAGAGCAAAAAGCTCTAGCAACAGTTTTGTTATTTTGTTCACCACTGTCATCAATGCACTGGAGAATTGCATCAATACCGTCATTTTCAGCAATTGATCTACATATTTCATCCTGCAGCAAGAACACAGTTTGAGAACCAAGGAAGAGAACAACTAAAAACTGAATATATAGCTCAATGAGAAAAAAAACTAATTAAAGTTAAGCAAAATAGTTTGTAGCAGACTTAAGTCAGAGTCTGAGCAAACTGAAGGACAACAGTAATGTTCTAGTGTAAAACCATGCCTTAAAATATTGCCAAACCAAAACTTAGGAACTTTTGATCTCACTGATACGTTTATATCATTATGCACCAACCTTATAGAGGTTTCTAACTTTCTATTGGAAAATTTCTAGTGGTCTTTTGTTTTTGTTTCATAGATAGTATGCCAACAGATAGAATTTATTCAAGCTTTATCTTAGCAAGATTGATTTTGTAAACAAGTAGGGATAACAGATCTTGATGTTCAGACTTCACCAAACAACAAGTGATAGCAACTTGACAAGGTTTTCCAATACCATTTGAAAAAACAAAAAGGAAACACAAAATGAATTCAAAGAAAGCAACACATACATCAGTGAACAACACCAGATATTATGTCCATAAGATCAATGACTTAAATAATTTTAATATAGTTGATAATTCATAACTATAATTAAGGGCCTCACATTCCTTGGAAATGTTATTGGAGAGTTTGATATGCTAGAGTTAGTTTATGTTGCAAGATATTAAGCCAGAAAAATGATAGATGAAACTGACTTCATATTGGGGGTTAGAATTCCTTTTCTGTGGTGAGAATGGGAAACCATATATCTTAAAGATTCAGAAAGAGGAAAGTTGATAAAAAAGATAGAATTAGAAGAGGAATGATGCCAAAGAATGGCTTGGAAGCTGATTTTTTCATGGGTTAGTGCTGTGATGAATCCAATTAGCCAAGCATCATGATGCAAAATTTGTTGGCTTAGGGCAAGGTGCCAACCAGCTGGTTGGTAAGGTCTCCTGCTGGTTGTAGTGGATGCTTGGGATCAAACCCCGCCTACACCTGGGTTGGGGGATGGGCTACCCCCCGTTGTGTAGCCCCTTCAAAAAGAAATAAAAAAAAATGTTGTCTTAGGATGCATCATTTTGCATGTCAAACAATATGGACAACACTAGCACCTTCACAATATCAATCTACATATTTCTCACTTGTGAAAAGCTAATAAAGAACAAGAGTTATGGCTTCTCAATTTCTTCTGGGAACAAAAGATTGTTTTTCCATTTGAATGTTCACATGCATATCTTGGTATTTTCCTTTAAATTGTATAGGTATTAACAATTCCATAGTAATTTTAAGAAGCTTGACAGTTAAAATAAGAGAATGCTTAACTTTGCACATGAATCATCCAAAATACCCACGGAAGAGCAGCACTGATCTCCCAAACCACTCCAGATAAAAGAAACAAATGTTACATCACCAACAAATTCTATTTATAATGCTTATACCCACTGCAGAGCAGCACTGATCTCCCAGACCATTTTATTTCCAAAATCACTGTCCAATGAAGGCTACAATTCATCAGAACCTAGCTCCCAATGAAGGCCACCATTCATCAGAACCTAGCTCTTCCTACATCTTTTTCACCATGGAATTAATTCCTAAACCCTATTAATGTTCTACAGAAGAAACTCATCAAGAAACACCTTTAATATTTCCACACAATTTCCCCATCCAATGATCCATCCTCTAGGTGCTTAAGGGAGATATGTGCTATTCACTTTCTCTATTGGGCAGAGTATTTCAAAATCTGGATTTCCCAGTCAAATCTCTTCAAAATTTCTATCAAGCAAATTGGCAAAATTGGAGATGATAAAATCATTCCCTTTTCTGTTCTATTTCTTTGCATTGGGCCACTGAGTAGGTGTTTAGGCCTTAGAGATGCTAAAGAGCAAAGACGATTATTCTTTGTTTTTTCTTTTGCCAAGGAGTCTTCTCTTAGTAGTTTGGTTCTTTTTCTTTTTCTTTGTCCGATTCTTTTATGTTGAAACCTCTGGCTGACAAATGTGAGAATGTGGGTTCAAGTCTAAGAACGACCACTCTGTGCGAAAAAGTGCTGAAGCAGGCTAGAAAAACGTTCATTCACTTTTTTTATTGGTAGTACTCTCTTCAGCTAGAAAAGAAAAGACATGATATCTCTAAACATATAAGAAGAAAAACTTCCCTTGGTAATCAGCATAACTTCAAAATAATTAACATGTGGCAAAATTATTAAAATGAAGAAAGACTATAAGAGAGTTTATATGAATTACAATAGCCAATAAGACTACATTAAGAGAGTTCTAACAACAGAAGCAGAAACAGGTAAAACATTAAAATATAGTAATATAAAAACTAGAAGAATTTCAAAATTAAACTTACATTGACAGCAACAGCCTTCAGGGCAATGCTTGCCGAAACTAGACTAGGTGAACTTAGTCCTTCAGAAAGTGCTTCTACAAGAGCTCCTGGAATTCCAATTTCAGCAAATTTTCGAGCATATCCATAAACCTGTTGTTTGATGCATTTGTTCATTACTTGTAGGGAATTAACTGCTACTTGGGTGAAAATGAACATAAGGACCAAAAAATTTCAAGAGTGAAGTAAAAAACTAAAAAATATCCAACCTCTATTTTGTTCATCCAACGTAGAATATCAACAAAAGTAGGACAGGTTTTGAAAAGAAAATAAAATCACCTTGTTATTTCTTTATTGTTGATAAAAAATAAATCACGGTTTTGCAAGTGTCGCTTGGCATTGTTAACTAAATTTGAAAGGGGAGTAAGGCAGGAAGAATAAGATCTTCATAATATAGATGGACATTTTGTATGTATCCTATACTTACTTGAGAAGCCACAACACGGTTGTCATCAGGTGTCAAGAGGATGCGTATGGCATCATATAAACTTTGGATGTTTCCCTTACTCTGTGCCCTCATAATTTGGATAAGAAGCTGCTCAATTTTTAAGTCCATGAATGATTCTTTTAGGATCTCATTTCCAGTTGCAGCTGCAGCAACTATGGAGAAACCATTATTCAAAATGCTGATATTTTGAACATTGGAATTTAAGATATCCACCACGATCTTAGGTCCGCTACTCTTTTGAAATGTTTCTCTACTTTGAAAATCTGCAAAAATGAGACAAGTACATTAGAATAGAAAGTTCGCAATATCCATAAAAAAGAAAGGTGGCACCATTCATATCTGAAGCTCTGAAATTCACACATGGAACTGACTAAAGACTTTAGTACTCTACCCCTCTAGGTACTAGTTCATTTCTAATAGAAGATTCTCCCTTAGTTCACTTTGACACATGGAAAAGATAATAACTAATACCCTTTCCTTTCTGCATTGTTGATTACCAACTCATCTAGACATATTTCCGATATATATTGCTGATTGCTCATGAAATTTTGTAAATGGACGCAAGTAATTTACTCTATATATCTAGATTGTAGACATGCATGTCTAAGTATTACAAAATTCAGGTTTGCCATGCAGTGCATCTCATATAGCCCCATCAAGGATGTAGGAAATGATGAAAGGCCATTACACAATTATAGTGTAAACTATCTAGGGTATTGGGATGGGTGGACCGAATATGGAACTAACCTTTGGCATTTCCTGCATAAAGTGGTCAGTACCAAAAAATGGCCCCTGATGCAGGGAGTAAAGAACTGTATAAAAACCAACATTTTATGAAGACCTCTAATTCTATTCCCTGGGTGCCTTGGGGACAGAGACAACATAGGCACTTCCAATTGATGTTGCATCAGTAATCAGGCGACCATCCATGGTTCTATTTCAGTAAGTAATAACTACCAAGTCCAAGGTTTACAACTTAATTTATTCAATGTTTCACATGTATAAGGAAAATCTTTGTGCAATGGATGGAAGGAGGAATAAGTATGAAGATGGTCCAACAGAGGGCATTTGATTGGGATCTTTACCTTCTCTGTAATTAGAGGAACCAATGGTGGGAGAATGCTATGATAGAGAAATAAAACCAAAACAAAAGATCTGCATATTTTCTCAATTAATATTGCTGGTGAATTGCTATGATCTGCCTTTTTTTCTAAATAACCTATCAGTTCCTCTGTTTTTCCTTTGCCATTTCATAAATTCTGTTCTCTTTGTAATCCTTTATTATTGTATGGTACATTCCCTTTCCTTTAATAATTTTACGCATTTCCAGTAACCAAATGTCAAGATGGGCATAGTAATTTTCCTAGTTTTCTGAACAATATGAATCACATGGAATTCATGGTCTTTGATCTAATTAGTAGTTCATAGACGTACTATCACTTACCTCGGTGAGCCAAAGTCCGAAAAGGCCAGCATGTGGAACAGTGGAAGACCACAGGTTATTCAGTAGAATGCAGAATGTATCCAGTATTTTTCACATAAAACCAGTATTTTCCATGAGAAATTAGACAAATAATATGAGGCAGTTTCAAAGCACAGATAAATACACTCGCAGACGTACATATATACAAACAAAAAGACAAAAAGACAAAAAGGGGAAAAACAAGAAGAAAAAAGATTCAATCACTTATAGAAAATGACTAATGTACCATGGAGTAACGAAGTCAGTGTCTTTAACGCAGACACAAGAGACCGCCCATGTCCATTTTGAAGTTTAGAGCATATAGAACAAACCAGCTCTACTCCTCCATTCCTTGTGGCGATGGACACATTTCCCGATCCTTCAATGGAACAAAGCTCGCTTAGTTTATCCAGTAACGACACCATGTCATCCAGATCCTTTTCACTGAATCCTGTGGTCGACGGCTCATCGTCTCCATCCCTATACTTAGAATTAATCTCCTTCAATGCATCTAAAGATTGGAAAACAGGGTTGTCTTTCACGCTGCTAACTCCAGGAATGCATGTGATGATACCTGTAGAAATTCAAATTCATAAAAGAAGAATAAGATTCGTTAGGGTTTTGTAATTGGATCCGAATTACTCCATTGTTACAGTTTTAGAAGATAGTCTTAATAAACGGGGAGGGGGCCTAACCAGAGAGGTCGACACCCTGTAGGGTTAAGGTTTCAATGGCGTCTTGAAGGGCTTCGGCGGGATCCATCCCGAGATCGTCCACATTCTCTCTCACAAACTCATCGAAGGCTTCCTGTGAGATTGTACGAACATTCTTCGATGTCCCCATTGTTTATCCCCTGCTTTGCGAATTGCTGTGAGTCTGTCGACTGTCGAGAGTTGAAGCTGCAAGCAAGAGTGAAACGAGAAATTTTGTCGTTGGAAAAACATTTATTTAAATCCCCGAAACGTATGATTCGTAGCGTACAATTATAAATGGTAGCCTATAAAATAGTTACACGATAGGACGATTTACCATGTCCTGTTTGGATGGTCAGCTCCTTTGCAAAAGCTATGCACGGTGGATTTTGGATGAGAATGGAATATCAAAGTAACGAATTTGATGTATTAGCAAATATTTAATATATGGTTTCAGCGTAAAAAAAAAAAAACTCATTAGTGTCAGCTCTAATAACATCAGGGCCCAAATCCCGGAGATTCAGGGAGGTATTCAGTCCGCAAGATTGATACGGCAGTATTTAGGGTCCGTTTGGTTCGCGTATAGGACCGGAATCGGAATCACATGTTTGGTTTAATCAGGAATAGGAATCGGGTTTTGATTATTGTTGCTGGGTTTGTTTGGAGGTGAAACCGGAATCAACTTAAAATTTTCAAATTTTGTATTAGTCTATTTATTATTTTATTATTATTTAATAATTAATATCTTAGTATTTATCATTAATTTATAAATATTTTATTATTATATTAATAATATATTTATTACTATATTTTATTAATAATTTTATTATTTTATTATATTTGATTATTATTTTCTTATTAGTTCATTAATTTTTATTATTTTTGTTGGTTATTTAAAATTAATTTATTATTATTTAATAAATAATATATTTGCTTTTATTAATAATTTATTAATGTTCTATTGTAGTGTTATTATTTTATAAATATTTACTAATATTTTATTATTATTTTAGTTATGAATATACTCTTATTATTATTATTATTATTATATTTAATAATTAATATCTTTGTTTATTATTATTAATCTATTAATATTTGATTGTAGTACTATTGTTTTATTACTATTTTGTTAATAATTTCTTATTTTATTATTAATATATTAATTTAATAATATTTTATTATTTTATTAATATTAAGATTGTGGTGCTTTTTGTCATGAGTTCTTTGCTTCTTGATAGACTCTAGAATGGGAATCCCATTCCTTGGAGGGACTGGAATGGTCATTCACCCCCCCCCTCCCCCAAGCCTTTTAGGGCCTCCAATTGTAACCCTTTGGGAATCTGACTTTGTATGAATATATTTGGATCTTCATTAATAGGATTGTAAATTTTAATTATTTTATTTTTAATTGTAAATAAAATATAAAACAAAAACAAAATGATTGATATCATAAAAATTCATGAGGAGTAGGGGATCTTGGTATGGATGGGGATCTCCGTGGGGATGAGGATGGGGATCTCCGTGGGGATGAGGATGGGGATAACCTCGTCCTCATCAGCAAGGACAGGGACAATACGAGGATAGGAATTTTCATGGGCACAAGGATGGGAGCGGCTCCTTATCCCTGCCCCGCCCCATTGCCATCTTACTTGTGCAGTTGTGCACAACTGGTTGCATATCCAACCACAAGTGAACACAAGTTAGGGATGAGATAGATAATATTATTTACATTAAATACATATATAATATTATTTGTATTTTAATTTTTTCCTTTATTTTAAGTAAGTCTATATTCTAAAAAAATAATTTTAATTAATTAAAAATTTCAGGAACTAGTGTCCCAATGGGAATCCTATCCTTGTCGGGGATTGGGGATGGCAGGTAACTTTTATCCTCGATGGGGRTTGGGGTCAAAGATGGGAATGTGGTCCCTGCTCCAAACTTGCCCCATTGCCATTCCTAACACAAGTGGTATCTTGGACATATTTATGAAAATGTTGGATTGAATTTGGCTACATCCTTATTCGGTTCAATTACCAAATCTTTTTAATTTGAACCTGACCCAAAATTCACTATTTGTATTTTGATCGTATTTGGATGTGATGCTAAATGTATATATGTATATGTATATATTATATACATTCTTTTTAACTTATATGTCATGTATAATAAATGCATACATACATACATACATACATACATACATACATACATACATACATACATACATACATACATACATACATACATACATACATACATACANATACATACATACATACATACATACATACATACATACATACATACATACATACATACATACATACATACATACATACATACATACATACATACATACTAGGGTTGTTTGTCAATGGATCAGTTCTATCTAACAAAACCAATTAGGTCAAGTTAAGTTCCTGGTTAATAATTGGGTTGGTTCTAGTCCTTGTTCTAAACTGATTAAGACCGAATTTGGTTATTGAGTTGATAATATGTAAAGGTTTTCTGAGTTTTATTGTAATTTTTATTATATCTTCGAAATTTGATAGATACTATATAATTGGGTCAATCAGAATCTAGCGTATTCTAATTGAGTTCAGATCATAGTCGAATATTAAATTGTATAAATGAATTAGACTAAAAATAATCAAAGTATCTTATTTTATTATTAAAGTGTACTAAATATGACTTTAATATTATTTTTTATGAATAAAACAAATTAAAAATTACTTGTATGAAACTTGAACCCATTACAGTTTAATGAAAATACATCATCCAAACCAACTTTAATATAAATTGTAAGTTTATATAAACATATATATTAATCGAATCAAATCAAGCTATATCGAATTGGATTGGACAGGGGTAAATCTATATTTGATCTAATTATAAAGGAATAAGATTCAGATCACCCTTGATGTAACCGTTTCTGGTCACGTATCAATTTTTTTGTGATGTATCAATTTTTTGGCTAAGTACCTTGTCATTTGACCTTCTCTCAGGTGGCTTGTGATTCAAAGGATGGTGGAGCTCCCTGGTGGTGAACTGCCTGGTGGTGAGCTACTTGGTGGCGAACTCCCTGGCGGTGAGCTACTTGGCGAGCTCCCTGGTAGTGAGCCACCTTGATGGGCTGCCGAGTGCGCTGCCTTGGTGGCGAGCTCCTTAGTGTAGTGCAACCCGATTGCCCTTTGCATGAGATATGCTCCTCTTTGTAGACGACGGGAGCTAAGGAACTTGCGAGAACTGAATTAGAGGACTCGGGGGTGTTTACCCAGTGGGTCCACTCCGATGGCTAAGTTAGCACTTTGATAGTAGAGAGCTTGAAGATGATATTAGAGAGCTAGAGAGCAAGGGTTACCTCCATTTTTCCTCCCCTCTGGGGGGTCGGAGCTCTTATATAGCGGTGTTCTGACGGATCTGGCGTAACCGCCTTTGATTCTCTATCGCAGTCGTTACTTGCCAGGGCTGGGCTGATGGGCGCAGGTAACCGTTGCAGAGTATGGCCCTGCCAGACAAGGGACATCTCTCAGGGCTAGTAGGCACGATGCCGCTTGGCGAGAGACGTGGGCGCAGGTCTCTAGATTTGGCTAGTACGGTTGTCAGGTAGGAAATCTTCCTGCGATACGCCGAGCTGCTCTGCAACGAGCTACTTTGCACCGAGCTGCTTTTCACCGAGTTGCCAATAATGTGCCGAGGTGCTTCTACCCAAGCTGCCTATAAGTGGCTAGTTGCTTGTGGCGAGCTACCTGTAGTGAGCTGCCTGTAGGTGATGAGCTGCCTATAGCTAGCTCGAGCTGTCTAATTGTCAAGAGTCTGCGCTTAATTGGCATGAGGTGCCAGGTGTCATAATTTCACTGGAGGGCAAAATCTGCCCTTATCAAGCCTTAATAAAATCAAATTCGTTTATCTGACACCATTTGCAATCCTGAACTTATCCCAAACCGGACCCAATTTATTGACAGCCCTTTAGATACATGCATCCATAAATTTTAATTGGATTTGGATTTTAATAGGATCTATGTCAATTTTTTAAGGGCCGGATGTCATATTTTTGGTTGGTAGTAACTAGAAAGTTGAATACCTCAGTGATCTCCAGTGAAATACGAATACATCGGTGTTTTAATTCGAGATCGCATTGCTTGTCGCAGAACACCTCAGCGACCTCCAGTGAAATAGGAATACATCAGTATATGAATAAATTCAATACATCACGTCAATTGTATTTTCATTTCAAACGCTCACATTTCATTAGGGGTCGTTGAGTTGTCCTGTGACGACTGGTGAGTGGGGGGAATAGCCGAATAGAAACAAAGAAAAGAAAAGTGGGCTGGGCATAAGTTCTTCCTGGTCCAATAGGCTCAAAGGGCTAAGGAAATAAGATTCTAAGTCTGATGGGCCAAAAAGTTCAGCCACTGTCATCCGATCCAGAATCCATAGAGCGAAGTTTCCTACCCAAATGGCCAAAGCCCAAAAGATAATAACCATGGATCCTGATGTCATGCTTAGCAGATCTTCATCTCATAACAAACGTTCTTAATGGAGCACTATTGACTCCTAAACCACTAACTTATGATGATCAAATTTGTTTAGTCAAATTTCTCAGTTTCCTAAAAAGAGAACCGTTTTTCAATTAGTTGATGTATGACATAGTGATGTGGTATTACATATGTGCATTATGATGTCCACACGTAATCAACCAACAAAAAAGAAATAAACCCTTTTATTTTGCTTGCCGTTGCTGGTTGCAGCCACCAAAGGAACGCTTCAAGCTTTGGACCACATTAGCCATGGTGGCCCAGACCATGGGCTTTACCTTATGGTGATGGGGTACTCGATTATCAAAGGCTAAATTGTATCAATGGACCGATTTTGGATTGGACTCCGTTTGGATGGATTGGACAACTAATAAGACATATTGAATTGGACTGGACTTGATTCTTTTGTAATGGATTTATATTAGATTGGTTTGGACTGAATCAATATCCGATCCACTGATAGAAGATAAAAGTAGAGGTATCAATGGATCGGATTAATCTGGGTCGGAATTAATCTAAATTAAGACCAATTTGAACAGATTGGACGACCAGACATTAAATTGGACCATCAGATTGGGTTGGACCTGATCCATTTGTAAAAGACTCATATTGGACCAGATCAGGTTGGATCAAATCCAGTCCAATTGACACCCTTAATTGTAAGTGGAAGACTGTAGCAAGTGAGAATGCAAAAGTAAAGGAAGCAGCGGACTCTGACTCTCTGAGGTCTACCAAGGAAAAGAAAGAAGGGAATTGATTCAAATTATGAGTTTTAGATATGTTATTTCCTCTACAAAGTCTTACTCCCAAGTTCCTACCTACCAAATTACAAAGTGGTGTAGGCCATTTTGCACTTGCTTTATGTTCCTCCTTCACTATAAATAGCCTCATCATCTCATTACCTTCGGTGCCATCTTATTCCACGTTCTCTTGGGGAAGGGTTGAAATTTGATTTGAGCTGAGATATGGCTACCCGATACAATAAGCTGGGTATTAGTCGCGCAGGACTCATTCTCCTGGTAACTGCAGCGTCCCTCTTGACAGGTTGTATGGGCAGGCCCAGCAAGGCCAACAGGCCCAACACCATCGTCGTGGGCGGGTCCCAAGGTTGGCGTTTCGGCTTCAACTACACAGACTGGGCCTTTGAAAATGGTCCCTTCTACCTAAACGATACTTTAGGTAAGCGGTTATAATGTTATATATATTTTCAGTTGAGGCTCTGTTCATTTATAATAGTACACTGACGATACCTTGTTTGATATGTGTTGGTGTAGTGTTCAAGTACGATGCTCCCAACAGCACCACCTTCCCTCATAGCGTCTACTTGCTACCAGACTTCTGGAGCTTTCTGAGATGTGATTTGAGGAGAGCGAAGCAGGTAGGGAATGCTATTGCCGGCGGTGGAGACGGCTTTCGGTTCGTGCTCAACAGGTGGCAGCCTTACTTCTTCGCTTGTGGAGAGCGCAATGGGTTCCATTGCAAGGCGGGGCTGATGAAGTTCGTGGTCTTGCCGTTTCCTCGTTGCCATGGTTGACGGAACGGGAACGTCCAGGGAAGAAGCAGTGCCGTGCCGTTTACCCCATGATTTCCAATATTACTTTTCTGGCTAGTTTTGACTTTTTGACTTTTGCGAGGAAATAAAGTAATAATGCTATATCTAAATAGATCAATTAATAAATGTGTGTGCGGCTTCGGTGTTATTATAAAGAACTTATACATTTTCGAATACCTTCTTTGGAGACGAATCACACGATGACCCCGTTTTACTTGTTGATGCTATCCTTAAATGTGTTGTTCTCTTTAATCTTGACTATTAAGATTTAACCTTAATTAATTTACCCTTTAGAAGCGAGACTGAACGCTGGGTGGGTATATACTTTAGCAAGTTGGAATTGCGTTAAATGAGTCTGGTTTGCAGTTGGAATTAGAATTGAAATCGAAATTTATTAGAATTGAAATTAGAATTTCTCACAATTTATTTGGTTTAAATATGAATGAAAATGAAAATTGGTAACACTAGGAATAAGATTTTATTCCGAAGAGAGGGGGAGGGAATGACCATTCTCTCGTGGGGGAATATCATTCCACTAGGAATGAGAATGAGATTCTAATTCTATCTAATCAAACAGTTAAAACAAACAGTGCCTTAGACAACACGGGGACTTGGTCAATAGAATTCTTTTGATAAAAGCTGTAGGGTCTTTGAAAAATATATATTTTTTTCTTGGATAAACTTTTAATTTATTTTTCCAAGTAATAACTAATAATTGTTACCATTCTCTCCCACGGATAAAACACTTACCCATTAAGGAGGAAAGTTGGCCAAACTTTTGTGTGAATAAAATGTATCTGCCAATACACAAAAGTCAAACATCTTTTGGGAAAATGTTTCACTTACCTAACTATCATTTACCCGGGTACATATGTTAAATGATAGTTAAAAAACTGGGCCTAAGAGAATGTTTGGCTGGATAACGAGATATCTTTGGTTCCTATGCATTTTCACTATTTTCACCTTTTTAAGATGGATATTAAAATTACTTCATCCAACATTGAACTTCTGTTACCTATCCATTATCTCCATTAGTAAAAATGAGAATGGTTCATTGGTCATCTTCAAAAGACCTCGATTTCATATTTCCACTTTTACCTCTGTTACGAAAAGACCTTTTCATTTTTACCCCTTGTCAAAATTAACACCCAGAGAAAAAGTCAGTTTATACATATTAAAATGGCAATAGAATAGGCGAACATGAAAGCTACATATTTTCTTTTTAGACACTTGTTGCAATGGATCTGGTTCAAGTTCGATGATAATGAAAAGATCGATTATGCCAAGATGTTTCTTTCAAATTTTTTTTTTTTTCTTTCCCATCAAAATTGATTTTATCGGAAAGCATAGTTGAATGATTGCCGATCGGGTAAGACAAATCAGATGCCATTAATGTGTTTCCGGCATTCCAACAGCTTGGTCTATTATAATTACTTGATTCGATTGAATGAAAACTATTGAATTCGAAGATTGGATAAAGGGAAGGCTTTAAAACTTTGACCAGACGATACAATTAATTTTATTCCAAATCCAGACCCACTTTTTAAGGGAACGGAATAGTAAATCTAATGTATGTTCTAAATTAAAGATTCATATAGACCAGTAATGTGCGGCCAGGATTTAATCTGCCTGATGCCAAATGGTACGATTTGAGGCCCGTCAAATATTCCTACATCAAAATCAACCTTAACCTTACACTGGTGGTGGCCAATCTTAGGCAGTGGTTGGCACCTGAACATCATCAACTGTGGACGGGGCCAGCCAGGCTCGGGGCACCCAAACCTTTTTTGCCTCTGGGTTGTGGGCCACTATTTCAATCGGCCAGGTTAAACAGTTCAGGTCGTGCCACATCAACGTATATGTATATATATGTATAAATACATATTTTATTAATTAATAATGTATAATTATGTTTTAGATATTATATATGTATTATTTTATATTTAATTTATGTTTTTTAATTCTGTTTTAATTTTTTTATTTATAAAAATATCAAAAATTACAAAATTGAGGCCAAAAAAGGGGTTTTTTTTCACAAAAAATAGTGGGACAAGGCGCTTATGGTTCATTGGGACTCATAGATCTCAAAAAATTACCCAAAATAAAAAAAAACACCTCATTTAAATATCATAGTACAAAGTTATGGCCTCTCAAAGTTTGTATACATAGTATACAACCCATGACTTAGTTATCGATTAACCAGGTCAATAATCCAACTATCCTGATTGGATGATTTTTGACAAAATCAATAATTTTAACACTTCTTCAGGTTTTACTCAAAATGGACCTAAAATCTTGATTGAGTGACGGTTGAAACAATTCAACTAGCTCGCAAAAAGTACGTTGCATTGGGAACATGATAATTTACAACACATTTGCAAGTGATGCGGAGAAGAAATTCAAACTATTTAATGTTGATTAAGTGACCAAACATATTTATTGTCATTGTTCGGTGGGCGTGCCGGAGTGGTTATCGGGCATGACTAGAAATCATGTGGGCTCTGCCCGCGCAGGTTCGAATCCTGCCGCTCACGGTACTTCATGTTTCTTTTGGATTTTCATGAGTGATAGGAGAAAAAGAAAATGAACAAAACAAGTGATAGGGTGGATCAATGTTTGTCATTAATCGGTGGACGTGCCGGAATGGTTATCGGGCATACTAAAAATCATGTGGGTTACCCGCGCAGGTTCGAATCCTGCCGCTCACGGGTACTTTATATTTCTTTTGGATTTTCATGAGTGAAATGAGAAAAAGAAAATGAACAAAAAAAGTGATAGGGTGGATCAATGTTTGTCATTGATCGGTGGACGTGCCGGAATGGTTATCGGGCATACTAAAAATCATGTGGGCTCCCCGCGCAGGTTCGAATCCTGCCGCTCACGGGTACTTTATATTTCTTTTGGATTTTCACGAGTGAAATGAGAAAAAGAAAATGAACAAAAAAAGTGATTGGGTGGATCAATGTTTGTCATTGTTCAGTGGACGTGCCGGAGTGGTTATCGGGCATGACTAGAAATCATGTGGGCTCTGCCCGCCCAGGTTCGAATCCTGCCGTACACGGGTTCTATTTCCTTTAAAAATGTGCAGTTTTTAGTTCTTTTGGATTTTCATGATGAAAATAAAAAAATAAAAGGTTATGCAGTGAAAATACTAATGCTGTATTTAGTTGCAATGCAAATAATTTTATACTAGTGCAAAACCTGTCAGTGGAAATGGTTTGATCGTAAATTCTGATTTATTTTTAAATTACTTTTGTATTTTCACGAGTGGAATGATAAAAAAAAAAGGAAAATAAACAAAAAAGGATTATAGGGTGGATCAATGTTTGTCATTGTTCGGTGGACGTGCCGGAGTGGTTATCGGGCATGACTAGAAATCATGTGGGCTTTGCCCGCGCAGGTTCGAATCCTGCCGTCCACGTTTTCTATTTCCTTTAAAAATGTGCAGTTTTAAGGTTCTTTTGGATTTTCACGATGAAAATAAAAAATAAAAGGTTATGCAATGAAAACTGAAAATACTAATGCTGTGTTTGGTTGCAATGCAAAATCATGGCAGTGGAAAATGGTTTAATTGTAAATTTTTGGGTAAATTATAAAGATTCCTCCGTATTATAGGGTTTGTGACGAAGATCCTCCTATGCTTTGTTTTGCGATAAAGAACCCCTGTATTATGACCGYGAGACAAAAACCTCCTTTAGCCTGCCGTCCCAAAAAAATGAGAAATTTGCCTTTACAATATTTTTTATTCCTATACTACCCTTGTAAGACAACTTTAACCTCTTTTCGTCTTTTATACGTTTTCTCACCTTATTTCTGCCTTACAATCATCATGTCATAAGAACCCATCTTTCCTCCAGGCGGCCACCAACACCGGACTGAACACCCCGCCGAACACCAGCGCCTGCCTAACCATCAACAATGCCGAGTTCCTCATACTCGTCGGGAGCAACGCGCTGAACATCGTGCACACGCTAAATAAGCTCACCAGCTCCACCGCCACCTGCAATTCCTACCGTGACTCGCCCACCACCACGCACATTATACTGCAAATCCCACTTATAGTTGTGAACACCAGCAGCCAACTTCTCATGTTCACTTTTCTGATAAGAAAGAACGTCAGCAATGACGATGGCAGCTCTGATTAGGCGTTGAAGGTGAACGCTCAAGTAGAGACTGAAGGCCAGGTTTCTGACCCCCAAAGGCATCCCGTAGTACACCATTCCGATGCCAAAATCGACGGTCATCACTGCCATTAACCGTCGAAAGGCCCATTTTTTCTCAACCAATGCCTTGATAGCAGAGTAGAGATTAGCGGCGAACGTCTCCGGTACAATGGATATGCCGGAGAAGCTCACGCTTAACCTGAAGCTACTTTGATTCCTTGTGGTTATGGTTCTTAATGTCTTGATTACTTCGTCTTTGCGTCCTTTCACCAGGAGCCATCTCGGTGATTCGCGCACTGCAAAGCGGATGAGTATACAGTAAAAGATGGCTGGCACGGACATCCACAGATAGAGGGTCCGCCATGAAGACTCTCGGTTGATGTAAGCCATGGCCGGTAACGACAAGAAAACGAATATGAATAAGAAGAATCCGATGATACCCACCTTGCCTCGCCATCGTTTTCCGACGATTTCCGTCGAGAGGACGAGCGCACAAGTTCCGATCGTAGCGCGACCGAACCCGCTAACGAATCTCAAGGCGACGTAGACCCAAATATTGGGAGAAAAGGCCATTTAAGTAGAAGTTACAGACATCATCAGAAATGAGAGGACGAGCATGTTCTTGCGACCGAGAAACGAGTCCACCAGCGAGGCAGCCCACGAAGAATGACGACGCCGGTAACCCGACGATGATGGGGCCGGCGCAGGTGAGGTTCCATTCCGACAGGACGGATGTCCGTGACGGCTTATCCCAGGCYCATGCATCCTTGGGAAGTAAGCAGAGTTGCAGGAGGGGTCGTCTTGGCGAGAGCACTGCCAGGTGAGCTCGGCGTCGATGAAGACGCCGATGAAGGTCTGCTAGGCGATGGCTTGCAGGAGCTGAGCCCACCCGAAACTTCCTATACACCGTTCGATGGTGTCGTCTAGAGAGGGAACATGCTTCTCGAGTCGTGGGTGTTCTTCATATGTAGGTGTGTTCGTCTGAGGTGGCCACATTACTGGGTCCCACATCATATGTACTATGTAGGTGTTCGTTCATGGTGGGACCAAGACGAGGAGCAAGACGTGTCCAATCCATACTCGGATAATCCATGTCCGAGTTGGAGTTGTACACTGCATAAGATTCCCACTTTTGAACTCGAAAGTTCTTGGAGATAGAGATGAAAAAGATGGTCCCACATGAAAAAATAATGGGTGGGCGTCTATTTCCTCCAAATTGACAATGTTAATTCGACTTGTGAAGGATATTTTCGTCAAATAACATTTTCTATTTATCGATTTAACGGAGAAGGGGGTCTTTGTGTCATGGTTATAATACAAGGGGTTTTGTACAAATCCTATAGTATAAGGGGGTTTTTATAATTTACCCTAAATTCTTATCTATTTTCAAATTTCTTTTGGATTTTCATGGGTGGAATGAGAAAAAAGAAAATAAACAGAAAGTAGTTATAGGATGGATCAATGTTTGCCATTTATCGGTGTGGACGTGCCGGTGTGGTTATCGGGCATGACTAGAAATCATGTGGGCTCTGCCCGCGCAGGTTCGAATCCTTCCGTCCACGGGTTCTATTTCATTTAAAAATGTGCAATTATTATTTATTTTGGATTTTCACGATGAAAATAAAAAAAATAAAAGGTTATGCTGTGAAAATATAATGTAATGTTTGGAACCAGTGCCATTTCTTTCTTTTCTAAGAAAATGACATTTTTATTTGAACCATTACTGTACTTGTGTATTTTTCAATGCTATAGCAAATCATTTATAGCGATGGTATAAGCACGTTTCTGAGAAAACGTTAATTGTTTTTTCTTTTGGAAAACATCCAACAGATAAAGAGGGTGTTTGGTTTCGTTATTGAGTAAATAAATGACTACCCGTTTCAGGCGTGCACATAAATTGCAAATATCGATACATATAGATGCAATTAATGAGGCTTTTGTTAATGGGGCATCTATTTGGTAGGGTTTACTCAACAAACGTAAACAGAACCAAACACAAAATTTTTCCCAGCACAAAAACTCTTATATGGTGCTGACATGGCACTGCTTTTTAGGAAAATGGCATTGATTCAAAACATGCCCTACAACAAAAAAAATTTATGGTAATGAAAGTGAATATAAGGTTACCTATACCATGCGGCTAAATTTATGACCACATGGCATTTCAAAACTACTTTGAATCTGGGAAGCTTGTTCTTGTTTTATAGATCATTCCCCCTCAGAATTCCTAATGCGATCCTAGAGTTCAAGGAAGAAAGTTTCCCAATTCACAGGGATGTTCAGATGTTATTTATAGGGGGGGTGGGGGGTGGTGATAAATACATTCCAGGAATCAATAAACAAAATCTGAGGAGAACCATACTTGAAAAAGGTCTTGTAAAATCATCTAAACTTCAGTAAACCAGTTTCTATTGTTGAACAGGACATAATAGGGATCTCGGATTGGGATCTGATCCTCAAGACCGTTCCTTATACAGGCCTCACAATCACATCCTACTGTGCATTGGGAGCATCTCCCCCCATGATTAATAAGATACAAATATGGGAGATGTTCCTGATATACAGTTGGGACATGCTATGAAATAGGTGTGAAGAGTGTGCACTGTGAGAAGCAGATCCAGGCTCTGAATCTCATGAAAGTAGAGGGTGATATAGATATTGAATTGGGATTTGCAACGCATAGACCACACTCACACTGACCTCACAATACATCTTAAGTGTCTTGGGAACATCTCCACGTGATTAACACACAACTACGGGGATGTTCCTGATATACGGCTGGGACGTGTTGTGAGAGCACAAATCCAGACTTATGGATATTTGTGACCTGATGTATCACCTCATAACATGTCCCAATTGTACATTGGGAACATCTTCGGTACTTGTACGTTAACATTGATAAGTGATCTGAGATATGCTCTGTTGAACCATTTAGCTGGAGAACTGGACTAAAAAAAATGAAACGCAAGGAAGGATTGCACATATCCACATCGGTTTTCATTTCGTGTCAGGATTAGACTGTTGAAATAAAAACCATCATCATCATCCAACACTAACTTCACATTCTCCTTTAATGCAAAATAGGAAATAAGAAGATTTATATAGGGGTGCAAGTCAGGCAAGTTAGGCTGGGTTTATGGTCAACCTAGATGCGGCCCTAAAACTTGGGCTTAAGGCCCAAGTCCAAGGTGAAGCCCGATTTTCCCAACCTGAATCCAGCCCACACTATAATTTGATGTACTTGAGTTCAACTCAGGCTCGAACCTGAGTTTGGCTCGAGTTGGTTAATGAATAAATATGTATATATACACATATATTTATGTATATATGTAAATACGTATGCAATATTTACATATATACACATATGTATGTATAAATGTATGTAGTTGGGCTAGGTTCGGGCTACCTAAAGGCTAGGCTCGAACCCGGTTTGGGCTACCGAAAATCCAAGCCTAGCCTGTGTATAATTCCAGGCTGGGCCAGTTTGGTCTTGGGCTAGGCCCACCCAAATTGCACCCCTAGATTTTATAAATGAGTAACTTTGGGCTTACCGTGGTTTATAGGGCTGTCAATCTTGACCCCAACCCATTTGACCCACCCACCTTGCAACTTACCCATACCCTTCCATTCTGTTGATGGGTCTATATGGATCGAGTGACCCATTAGGGTCAGGATGGGCTGGGGTCAGTTGGGTGAAGGAAGGGTTGAAACTCAAAATAGGGTTAGGAGTCTCGATTGAAGTTTGGTTCTTAGTAGCTGACGATCACCAGTGATTTCTTCTTCTTCCGGAGGTATGCTCGATAGATCTCTCTCTGCTCTTTCCGTCATGGCAGAAAGGTGGAAGGTTTTTCCGTTGTTARAGCGTGGAGTGGCATGTTCAAGATTAGATTTACATTAGATCAGGTTCAAAACCAGATTTGTGTTCATTGTCGCAATGACAGATATGGTTTTAAACCAAATCTGTGCTCAACGTGAAGAGAGGGCAGTGACAGATCTGGTTTTGAACTAGATCTGTGTTCATCATGAAGATAGAGCAGTGGAAGATATGGTTTTGAACTATATCTGTGTTCATCGTGAAGATAGGCGATGACAGATCTGGGTTCAAAACCAGATCTGTGTTCAAAACCAGATCTGTGTTCATCGATTTTCTTATATTAAAACATAAAAAAATCTATCAATTTCCGTAATTTCCCTACGTTTTTTATGTTTGGTCTTCTTGTACTTTTGTCATTTATTTGCAATTTTTTGCTTGATTACAATTTTTGTTGTTTTTCTTGCAATTTTCATTTTTTCCATTTTCTATATTTTCTTTGCATTTTTAGTGTATTCTATAATTTGTAATGCTTCATAATTTCTGTTGTTTTGTTTTCGCAATTTATATATTTCTTGTATTTTTGTTATTTATTTTCGATTTTTGTGTTTGTTTTCTGTAATTTTTATAATTTTTATGTAATTTTTATTTTTCAATTTTTATATTTTTCTAAATTTTTACATTTTCATAATTTTTTGACATTTATCCTTTAATTTTGTATGTTATATACAATTTTCTATTTTTATGTGAAATGATACTTTCATTTAATTTATTATTATTTTTTCCTATAATTTTTTAATGTTTTACGTGAAACATATTTATCATTTTTAGTGTTTTTGAGCATTTTTATTTTAATTTAAAAAATATTTTTTTGAACTTTCTATCACTTTTTTTTATGTTTTCTTTATTGATATATACATTAGAGTTGGGTCAGGGTGGGTTAGGATTAGGGTTGGTTGTGACCTACTATTATCAACTATTTTGGTTGGCAAATGTGTTAGAGGGTCGGTATGGGTGGATTAATACTCACCCCTAGTGGTACGTCCGTCCTACTGAAACGGAGTTAGTTCTGGGCTATAGTATATGGTAAATATGCTTTATAAGATTTAGAATGAACTAGACGTGAACGCTGAACATTGAAACTACAAGTTGCCGCATAATTAAGTATGTGTTTGGTTCTGTTTACGTTTTTTCATTCAATGTTTATACTTTATTTGTTGAGAAAATCGAGAAAGGTAAAAATTACAATCGTTTATAACAACTAGGCGCCACTAGGCACCGCATCAGTGTAATAGTGAAAAAACGCTTAACCGTTTGAAGAAGTTTTAAAAAATAATTTCCTCAAACGATAGTCATGCACAAAAACCGAAGTCACTTTTTCTTATTCTTGATACGTATAAAAGAGCATGAAAGGAAAACTGCTGAAGTGGCCCCTATATGACAGCGTTTATTGAATAAACACCCATGAAACCAAACACCCTTATTTAAAATAGTTGAGGGTTGAGAGAAAAATTCACACATCGGCTTACGCCTGGTGGGTGTGTTTATATAGATTTCAATTGAATACATCCTATGTACATGTGGAAGAAATATACAAGTAGATGAGTCCTAATAGAAGTCTAATAGTACAAGAGATAAAATATGGAGGATAACATAGATAAGCCCAAGATAAATTTGGAAACGCAATTTCTAGGCTTCCGTTGGCAGTCTAATCCTTATCAGCCCCCCTCAAACTGAAGAGGGGTTTTGCAACTTGAAGTTTGGATCGCAGAAAAGCAAACTCTTGAGAAGGCAGTGGCTTAATAAGTATATTGGCTAGCTAATCTTTTGATGAGATAAAGCAAACCTCAAGTTGTTTGGAGGATACTTTTTCCCGTACGAAGTGATAATCAATTTCTATATGTTTTGTACGGGTATGAAAGACAGGATTGGCCACTAAATAAGTGGCGCCAATGTTATCACACCACAAAATTGAAGGTGAGGAGGGAGAAACCCCAATTTCGTATAGTAGCGAACATAACCAAAGGACTTCAGATGTCGCAATGACAACATTGCGATATTCAACCTTAGTGCTGGATTTTGAGACAGTGCTATGTTTCTTAGAAGCCCAAGAAATAAGGTTGTCACCAAGAAAGATGTAGTAGCCACCATGAGATCGTTGATTATCGGGGCACCCTGCCCAATCAGCATCAGAAAGGCATGAAACCTACAAGAAGAGCTCGGTGTGAAGCATAACCCATGATTGATTGTAGCYTTCAAGTAGTGTAGAATTCACTTCACTAGAGACCAATGAGTAGTTGTGGGCTTGTGCTTAAATTGACAGGCCTTGTTAACAGAGTATGCAATTTCTAGCCTAGTGATTGTAAGATATTGTAAAGCACCAACAATGGTGCGATATAAAAAGACATCTGGGAAAGGTGAGCCATCATATATGGATGGCTTACATGATGATGCCATGGGAGTGGATACTGGTTTAATGCCATCTAGATTGGCCCGACAAAGAAACTCATGTATATATTTGTGTTGGGA